ATATCCAATTTATATTATTTTTAAGCCCCCCCTTTCCCCATTTAGGTCAAGTCCAACCCATTAGGACTAAGAGTGGAAACTATTTTGAGTCAAAATATATTTAAATGAGCTTTTACCTAATATCAAAATTCTTTGTAAATATATTACTGATTACATAAGACTAACATGAAAAAATTTCAAGCCAGGTCCAATCTCATAATATTTGGAAAAAATTTCCCAAGCCTAGCTCAACCCATAATAATTTTGAAAATTTTTTCCTAGCCCGGCCCATAATAATTTGTAAAAGATATTCCCAAGTCAGGTGCATGCAAATATTTATCTTGAGGAATATTTTCCAAGCCCAGTCCAACCCATAATTTTCAAAACTTTTTCCCAAACTCGGAGATAGTTAAATTTCTATATAATTTATCATCACATGAAGGGGAAATCTCGGATTTACCAATTAGTGGGTTAACTCCTTTTATCAAAAAATTTGATAAGGGCTATCTATATCTTTATGTTAAGTACAAAATAATGCTATCTATTTAAATTACAAAAATGCCATTCAATACTAATGAAACTTATATGCAATTTATTTATATATTATGTAAGAAATTTGTTTTTCTTGCCATATAAATTTAGGTAATTTTTTAAAAAAATGATGATGATTAATTAGTATTTTGTGTCTGATAAAATTAAGAGCAAATCCTTTATGACATTTTAATTTTTGATAGAAAAAGCGACAAAATAAATCTGGGCAGTCGTCTGCAGAGGAAATAATTAATGCATAATATCATCCCATTCAAGGTTGTAGGTGAAAGTAATGAATAATGATGGATTACCAAAGCAGTGTACAACACACATTGCGTCCTAATAAAGCTGAGGCCTTAGGCTACTGTTAAAAGAAGAACGCAAAATGATATTTCTTCCAAAGTGTCAGTTTTGGTATCCCCCTCTAAAATAGAATCATGAACTACATTGTCAACTCAACCATAAAACGGTCGTAAGTATTGTTATAAAGACCATGACAAAACTACCGCATATTTTACCATTAATAATGTTAATGAAATTGGCCGCACTACACCTTCACGTTTGAACATCCCTCTAAATATTCATGAAAGTTCCTCAGGGAATCGGATAAAGTATTATTTATATTAACTCCTAGTGAGGTGAATGATAGTGGAATTAAATGCTTATATTTGTTAAAAATTAGGCAGAGGTGGCATAGGGATTGTGGTAGGGATGATAGAAATATCATTTGGAGGCAACTGGGTGAATATAAAATAAACATATAAATATAAAACATTAGATAAAAAAACAAAATAAACATCCAGAGGAGTTCACAATTCCTTATTATCTTGGCCACCAGTAACTCTAGAACGGGTAAGGCGTTTGTTGAATCGGCAATATTTTCTTTGCTCATCTTTAATAATAGATTCATCATGTTTTGTAACAATGTGAGGGATTAAGATTGGGTTAGCCTAGACAAATAAAGAAATCAACCACAAATATAAATAAACTATTGTTGAATTAAACAAAGATTAATATACTGTAAACTTGTAGAGGAGTCAATATTAGAAGTATATTCCTAGTAGTTGGGGGGCTATAATCAAAAAAATTTTTTGGGGCCTTATCAAGCTATCATGCTCTTCTAAAGGTTTATTTTGCATTTTTTCATTATTAGATATATCAATATTTGAACAATTATAAAGAAGAAGTAAGATAGGGATAGTTAACTAAAGTAAAAACAAAACAATTCTCAAGTTAATTTTATAAGGTAGGATTAAAATAAAATACCATTCGGAGAGTCCAATTGGCAAATTAAAAAAAAATAGGAACTTTGTGAATAGATATAGAATATTTAAATAATATAAATACCATAGTATGTATTTTGTTTTGGAATAAATGTAAAATCCTAAAGATAGAAAACCCCGTTTTGTCTTTTTTATTGAGTTATACAAAAAAATTAGTAAGAATAAAAAGGAGTATTGTTAAAAAGGTAAAATCCTTAAGAATAAATATATAATTTTAATTGAATAAAAAAAATATTGTATTATATATATCTATTTTTTGGATAGATATAAAATCCTATATAAAATTATTTATAATAAAAATAATGTACTTATTTTTTGGTGAGTTATACAAAATAATCAGCATGAAGAATAGAGCAATTGTGGATCTGACAAAAGGCAAGCTTTTAAAAAAGTAGGATCCTTAAAAATTGATATAATTTAGTTAAAAACTAAAAATAATGTACTTTGGATATTTTCCTGTTAGTTAGACAAAATATTCATCAGAGATAAAAGGACATATTGTGCGGCCCTGCAAAATGGATAGCTTTAAAAATACGTAGGATGCTTAAAATGATATATAAATTTATTTAAATTCTAAAAAATATCCTACTAAGTATTGTAAATGGAAAGAAAATAGGGAAATTAAAAGGGAAAGGAAGCTAAAGAGAAAGAAATAGGAAATTATAAAGCTTGAGAAAGGTGAAAAAATAATTTATATTTAAAAATATAAAAAGAATTAGAAATTATAATCTAAAGAATTATAAAATATAACCTCTTTTTATTCAATAAAAACAGAAATACAAAAAAAATTATGTCTAGAATATATTTGTATATCAAAATATTGATCAATTAAAGAAATTAAAAGGGAAGGAAAGGAAAATAGAATAGTTTTTTTTAAATTTTTTATCAGGCTGATTTTTCACATATTATTTAAAACTATTGTTAAAATAACTAATGTTAGTGACATCTTCAATAATGATATATATGTTGCCGGCGTAGCATAGCCAGTATACATTTTGTACTGGTATTTGTGATGTCACTAATTAGTAGATTAAAAATGGGGGGTGGCACATCCTTGTTTTATACCATATTTTTGTTTAAAAAAAGGTAGGGTTAATCTTTTGTGTTTTGAAACTATTTTCATAAATATTTATAATAATTTTGAATGTGTGTAGCTGGAATGGGAAAGTTTAAATTATTGATGTTATACTTTTTGTAAACTAAGGGTGTGTGATGATTGTTTGATTTGTAAAAACTCATTTTTATATATTAAAAATATTATTTACCCTTACTTTGCTTTTCTTCTCAAAATAATTATGGGCTGAATTAATAATTGAATGATATTTATTTTTTGATATCAACCCTTGTTAAAACTCATTTTAATAAAAAAAAAAAATTTACCAGGATAATAGTTGCTTAATCAGCATCTATACAATCATAAGAGAGGTTAAGACGGGCTTGTTATCTAAAATAAAAACATAAGAATAATTTTAAAAATATTAATCTATTAAACCCAATGATATATAATAATACCTAGACTAACGATTTATTCATTAAAAGTGTACCTCAATGCAAATCAGCTGGGGACGCCATATTGGTTGCCTATACCATTAAAATTTTAAACGAAACTTTATTAAAGAATTGCCTTATCATCTAGATAATAAGGAAGCAAGTTACCATTACCTATATTATAATTCTCTAGAATCATTATTAAAATTTAACAACATTTTTAAAAAGAATAATGTTAATACAGTTGTTTGTTTCAGATTTTCATCACCACAATATCCAATTGATTAAACCTGAAGAGGAATCAATATTAGGTTCAACTCTCTAGAAAGAGTGGGAATATCATCAGAAGCTAAAATTGATGTATTCTAAATGTAAAAAAAATATAAGCATTTATAATTTAATTTACTTGAAAGAATTGAATATATTTATTTTTTGATATTAGCCCTTGTAAAAACTCATTTTTTGGAAAATAAGGGTGTATGATTGTTTGATTTGTAAAAACTCATTTTTATAAATAAAAAATATTATTTACCCTTTCTTCTTAAAATGAATATGGGTTGAATTAATAATTGAATGATATTTAATTTTTGATATCATAAATTAAAAATATTATTTACCAGGATTATAGTTGCTTTTTATTTGAGTCTTGCTTTCTTGGATTTTCTTCTCAAAATATTTCACCTATAAAAAAAGTAAATAAATAAATTTTATTATAAATTATAAATATTATTTACCAGGATATAATAGTTGCTTTTTATTTGAGTCTTGCTTTTATAAAAAATAAATAAATTAATAAAAATAAATAAACGTAGCGATGACATGACGTAGCGATGACATGACGTCACATTGACCTAGTGAGGACATCGGAAAATTATAATATAGATATATATATATATATACTTATTTATTTTTTTAAAATAATATCAAATCTATATATACTATATAACATAAATCTAAAAAAAATTATTCAGGGGGCCTTAACCATATGAAACCCCAGGCATGCTAGAAATGATATTACATAAAAACGGTTAAATATTATGATCTGGATTCTTCAGTAGCTACATCAAATATATCTTAGAATCTATTTGGGTTTGTGAAACCCCACTAGTGTAAATTTGTATGTACTATATTTTTTTTATATTTAAATGTATTAGTGTAATTTTTTTTTATATTGAAGAATAAAGATCCATATGATGAATACTCATGATTATATGATGGATAAGTTAATTTTTTAATTTTATATTTGAATTGGCACAAATTATAATTATCCTCATTATCTTTAAACTAGGCTTAAAAAATAAAAATATTTAAATATTTTATCAAGCTTAAGGTTAGATCTATCTTATATCCAAATATCAAATGAAAATGATGAATATTACTTAGGATATATACATTTGAAATTGGGGTTTATTAAACCCAACCCGAGTACTAACGTCATTTTTTTCACCGGAGTATTGAAGGGTTAAATTATTTTTGCTTCGTGGGCTATTAGGAAGCCATTGAAAAATATTGTTCAGATGGCATTAGGTGTAATAAAATTATTATCAACTTTTCTCCTATAATCTCTGATATTACCAAGAAAATTCACAGCGATCATCGACAAATATTAAATATTTAATAATTTTCATCTAATTAATACTTTTTCTTCACATAATATCAATTCAAAAACTAATAATTTACCATAATATAAAAATATAATGTAAATTTATAAAATTACTATATTATAAATATTACCTGTCTATTCTGAGTTTACCTGTCAATTCTAACCCTTCTTGCTAATTTTTTATGAATAAGAATGCTAGGAAAACTAAAAATAAAGATCAAAGAGGGGAATACCGACGTCTGAAAAGGGAAAACACGAGGACAGATAATTTGGTAATATTAATTATCTAAATTCATTTAATTTCATATTACATAAAATAAATAAACTATATATATTAATATTTTACTTAATAATAATATTTTAATAAAATAATAAAGCAATGTTTTAAATGCAGACAGTTTGGACATATTTTAAAAAATTGTCTTAGTTTATCAAATGATGATGGTGAAAACCTGAAATTTGTGGAAGAAGAAAATTTTGATATTTGTTATAAATGTGGATCTCTAGAACACAAATCTTTACATTGTATTTCTTTTACTTCTGGAGGAGCTGAAGAATATCCATTTGCTAAATGCTTTGTTTGTGGAAAGATGGGTCATATTGCCAAATCATGTTCTTCTAATGACAAAGGTATATATCCAAATGGGGGATGCTGCCTATATTGCAGAAGTGTTAGACATATGAAAAAAGATTGCCCACAGATTAATAGAAATATAAAATATAATATACATAATGATATCAGCAGTAGTGTAAATATTGTTAATGATGTTAAAAAATTAAAAAAGAAAAAGAAAGTGATTAAATTTTAAATAAAATATATGAAATTATTAACTGGTGATTTTAAGAAACTTATTTTTTACCAAACCTTTTAATTTACATAAGGTTGGGCAAATTTTGAATACCGAAACAAAATATTGACTGCTTGATTTTTGTCAAAATTTAAGATATGATATATTTATTTTTAAAAAGTAAGAGTTTGTGTCCTTCACAAGAGTAAAAATATAGAAGGCTTAATGATTTGTAAAATTATGTAAATAAATTCAGGCAGAAATTGGTAAAATTTTATTTTTTTAGTTATAAACTGTAAATTAGTGATCTGCTTCGGGCCTAATTTTTCAAGCCTTTTAAAAAAGTTTTGTTGGCCCGAAATCAATATTTTTTAAAAAAAATTTACTGACCCAGCCCAGCCCAGCCCATTAAATTTTATTACTCAAAATAAAAGACATATGTTAGATGTCATTTAGTTTCAATAAATAAAATCAAATATTTTTATTTTACATAAAAAATTCAATATAAAATTGATAAATTTAGATATATTTAAAAAATTTCCATGGTCCGACCCTACCTGGCCAGATTTTTTTAAAAAAATATTACGCCCAGCCCGAACCCAATTATTTTAAATAGAATTGGGCCTGAGCCCAACCCAAAGCCCATTCGGGCTGGGTACTGGCCGGGCCTAACTTTGCAGATCTCTTCTGTAAATTATAATAATGAGAATCACAGTAAAAATATTAATATTATTTTTAAAATAAAGATTATAATTTTAATAATAAAAATGCTAGTAAAAATAATAAACAGTATAAAATTATTTACATTTACTTATTATTTTACCTTAAAATTCTTGTTTATAGTGCTATTTTATACATTTTTTGGGGAAAGAGGGGGGAGGGGTGAGTAATATAGAATTTTATCAGCTTAAAATGTATTTATGAGAACAGGCAAGTTTTTGATAGGAGAGGGGAGTCCCTCACTTGGCTATACAATATGCTACACTTATATAAAAAATATAAGAAAATTTATGTAAGCAGAGTAAAATTGATATAACTGTCCAAATATGTTTTTATCCACACCTATTCATTTATAAGGCCAACTCTATTTTTTTGAGAAATGTCAATTGGAGTTTTGGCAATATGACAAGAGTGTAAAATAGAAAAAAAATAACGTGAGTTTATGTACTAAAAAAACTAATGGAAGAGAATCATGAAAATTAAGGAGAGTTTTGAAATAATAATTCATTTGAGAATGGAGCTGAGATTATTAAAATATAATAACTTGTCAAAGACATGGTAGACCTAAGTCTCTAAAACCATATATCAATTATATTAAATGTATAGGACAATGTTTAGCAAGACAGTAGTAACTTATAGTTAATCTAATGAGAAAAGAGAATCCTGACATACCTTGACAGATAAACCCCTAATTTTATATATGAAATTTTATAAGAGGCATTGCTTTTCGATTAGGTGTGGAATTGACTTTTCTTGAAATACCTTATTAGAATGTTTAGAATACCAGCAATTAGTTTTTTTCGATTTTGGTCATAAATTAATTCTAAAAGGTTTTGAGTTCTAATTTTGGATTTAATTTAAAAAATATACCTATTCTTGAAACTTTCATTTATATATTTTATTATTTGAATTTTCAACCTGATCAAAAAATTCACATAAAAACTGTGCAAAAATACATTTTACAATTTTTAACCTTGGGCTATTCAAATTAAATCCATAAAATATTTATTTGGCCAGAAATTTTGAAATTTAAAATGAGAATCATGAAACTTGCTATAAATGTGTGAAAGTCACGGTATTTCGTATGGGCCAGACCGGACTGATTCACACGGACCAGACCATGATCATAATAAAATATCAGTTTAGACTGGTCCTAAATAAAAAACTGTTCCAGTACCGGCCTTTTATTTTTTTTGTTATTTTAAAAATATTTTTGTTTTTATTTAATTTAATTCTTGAATTTAGCATTTTATTAAATATAAAAGTATTTAGAAGGAATTAGAAGGGGGACTAAAAATTTATAATTAGAGTATTATAATTAATTTATTTTAAGTTATTTGTCGCTCATGATATATTTAATTTGGTGTTGCGATGAACACATATTCTCTCTTTTTTTATTGGGATGGGACTATAAGTAAAATTTTTTTTGACCAACTTTTAATTTTCATAGTATTTTACAAAATAAAAATGAACCATAAAGAAAAAGAATTGTAAAAACTAAAGTCTCCGCTAGAAAAGTAATGAAAACTTTAGTAATAAATGGCTGGTTCGGACTATGGTCAGGACAAACAAATTAAAGGAATATAAACCACAGCCCTTAAAAAAAACCGGCCCCCCTATTGGTGTGATTCGGGCCCAGTCTAATACCGATGATCTGACCTTGTCTGCCATGAGCGCAGTTAAAACTATTAGTGGTATGATTATTAATATATATTTTTTTACTTAGGGATCATGGCTTAATCAGAGGGTGCTTTTACTATCTTTGAAAATAAAAATATAAAAATTTAGAAGTTAGAAGTTAGTCTTGAAAAATTAAAATACCGATAAAACTAGGCTCCTTTGGACGGCTTAGTCTTGTTTCCTTATATGACATGGTCAATGCACTGAAGTTCGTAAGAACGGTTACTCCTAACAAAAAAAATATTATTTCGATAAAAATTATATCCTTGAAGTATCAAGGTTGAGCCTCGATTTCTACATGAAACCTGAAACGTTAATCAGGACATCCTATCTGATGAAAAATGCATTAAGATTGATGTGAAGGATGGAACAATCGTTTTTGTAACCTAGTTGGAATAACACCCATCAATCTGGGTTTTGTATAAAAAATGCAATTCAAAGTAGTTTCTGACGGCCAAACTCGAACGATGGGTTGGTAGATAAACACCGATAAAATCGCAGAGCTGTAATACTCAATTTCGGCTAGAAAGACTTATGAGGATCATTTTGATGTGTTGCTCGGCCTGTCAGATTTTATAAGAGTAATTGATTTTAATATTATCTCAACCAATATAATAATATTTTGAATTACATAATTTTGCCTTGCCCTGGAAAATAAAAATATATTATTACAAAATTTAGCCAAGTTTAGTTTGCTTATTTGTGGATGAATATTATATTGAAAAAATTTATTATAGGAAATAATTTTCACTAAAATAAAAAATTCGGAGATTTTTTTCCAAGTTGTTTTCTTCATGGAGTTTAGTGTCCAAAACATTTTTATCCACAAGTTTTTTAAGGGGGGAGGGTGTTTACAGTGGTTTTATTTCTATTACCCATGTAGTATTGTTAATATTTTTTTAAAATTTATATCTTAGTCTCAAAACCTATGTTATATTTTTTTTAAACTCTTCCAAGCGATTTGTGATTTATCGCATTTGCTATTCACCACTGTTTGTGATTCATTAAGGTAATTAATTCCTGGTCGTTATGATTCCCAGCCCTCCCATGGCAGGAGACCGGACCAAGACGAAGCCTTGGTATTTTGTAACTTTTTCACGATATTTGTTTTTTGATACTATATATTATATAACTATAATAAATTGGGCCTTGATATAATGAATTGCGAATGATTATACCTAATTTCACTTCATCTATACCAATATTTTTGATGAAAAATTGCGAAAAAGTTTTCCTGGTTTAATATATTTTAAATTAATATTCACTAGTTAGTGTTTTAATATTATTGTGTATTTATATATTTTTATATATTTTATGGAATATCTAAATTATTACATTTTGAAAATTTATATTAATACAATTATTTTATTTTTTATAGTTTAAAATTTTTCTTAATGCCTCAAATTTTTTTACCCAAAACAGTTACAAAATATAATTTATATAAAACCATATTAAAACACCCAAATACATTTTTTTAGTGCCTCAAATTTTTTTTACCCAAAACAGTTACAGAATATAATTTATATAAAACCATATTAAAACACCCAAATACATTTTTTTTAATGCTTCAAATTTTTTTACCCAAAACAAGTTACAGAATATAATTTATATAAAACCATATTAAAACACCCAAATACAAATCTATTGAAAATATACGGAAGGAAATGTAGGTAATATTTTTAACGAATCCGTTTTTTTATTGTTTACCAATGAGGCAAATTATGTGAAAGCTATATGCATTGCTACTAAAATAGCAAAAGTTTCAATCTAAGATTGCGCTTTCGAATTGTCCATAATATTACTAATAGTCCTTGTTCAAAAAATGTTGGCCATAAAATTACATGGATTGGGAATAGTATTTCTAATATTTTAAAAAGAGCACCTTCTTTTATTTTATATTTAAATGATCGTGGGCCTCAAAACATAATTTATTCTCAAATAATTAAACAAAATAACTATCTTAGATCACTTGTTATTACCTATCCATAGTACAGATTGAACAAATATCTGTCCTGAAGGGAAAATATTAAAAATTGAACAAAATTAGGTAGGAACTAGTGCTGGAAGAATTTCAGCACCATTTATTATAAAACTATAAAATTAAATTGTTAAAGTTCCCAACAAAGATATATCAATCATAAGTAATTTAAGCTATTTTTATAGTAGCCACTGTTGTTAAAGTTACTTTTGAAACATATTACAGTTACTAGTTACATTGGCAAAAATATAACTAGTTACATTGATTAGTTACAGTTATATTTCAAAAGTAACTAGTTACATTATAAGCTACTTTGTACATCATTCATTTCATATAACGCATTTATTTACTGAAATATATTTAATAAAAAATTATATGATATACAAATTATAATCATTTGTTTAAAAAAAATATACAATTTATTTATATAAAAAAATAAGTAAACCGAAAAATATAAGAAAATAGAATATTTATATTTACATTGAAGAAAAATATCCTATATATTTGCATTGAAAAAAAAAACATATTTATTTTTCATAAAAATTTGAATTTAATAAATATTTATTTGCTTTAACAACAATTGGATTTCAAAATTTTTATCTAGGAGACGCTCTCGTTTCTCTCCAAAGATGAGCTTCCCTAG